GAGAGAGAGAGAGAGAGAGAGAGAGAGAGAGAGAGAGAGAGAGAGAGAGAGAGAGAGAGATGGTACTTCCATTGATAGGACGATCAATGCACTAGCCAACATGTAAGTCTCCAACCCTGTGGCTGACCTCACGCTACTTTCATCGATAGGATGAGTAAAATCAAATGAATCTTCAATTACAACATGGAAGTACACAATTACACTTGTGTGTACACGTGTGTAAGTAGCGTGAGGGCAGTCACGGTGCATATCTCCACGTTTTGCGGTTAGATTCATTCGATTTTGCACACAAACACATGTGGCGTGTATGTTTCCATGTTCTGGTGGTAGATTCATTCAATTTTGCTCATCCTAAGTAGCGTGAAGGGCAAAACACAAAGATGCCTGGGCCACTAGGGTAAAATGAAAATACAAAGGGCCTGGGAAAAGTTGGCAAGTATTGGGACATTTTGCAAACATGGACAGTACCCTGTAGGGGTATTTTGCAAAGATGACAGGTCCAACCGATGACAGGGGCATTCCGCAAAGCATTTTTTGTGTCAGAGGGGTATTCCACTCTACCCACATCTTTTAGGGGCATTTTGGCACACATCTCAACTTATAGGGGTATTTCGCAAATCGTCCCATTATTCTTATAAATAAGCTATATTATGCTCTCAATTTCACCTTTCACTATCTACCTGCCACCGCTCCTGAGCCTATACAGGGGGCACCTGCAAGCAGAGCTACCTCTCACAATTTAGGGCATGCATGTTGCCCTCCGCCCTAATCGGCGGTGGTCAGTCAGTAGGGTGGGGCAGCCGCTGGGGGGGACCGGCTAACACAAGCCTCCCATCTACTTCCCCCCCCACCCATAGAGCAGAAGCAGTGGCGATGGGCAACACTCTCCCACAAACCACACACAACCCACTCACACTCACACTCACAACGGGTTGCCCATCTCCCACAAACCACACACAACGCACTCACACTCACACTCACAACGGGTTGGTCATAGAACCTACTACGGTAGTTGGCAGTAAGTGCGCTACAGGTGGTCATGGGCTCGAACCCATAACCTCCTGAATGCCACTTGCGTGCTTGAACAACTGAAATATGTAGGCCCCTGGATAGGGGTGTTTGTTGTCACTCAGCCGCGCTCCGCAACTCACAAATCAGGGGATTGGCGGCGGTTTCAGGAAACGGGCCTCTGTGAAAAACGTGGAAACAAGGGCCGAGCCAGAAACAGGGGATTAGATGAAGTCAAAAATTGAGGGCCCGGGAGGGGTTGGGCCGGGCGAAGGTCTTCGAGAGTTGAGGTAGAGGAGAGTGCTGGCTGGGACGGCGAGAAAGAACAAACACAGCGCTCATTCCCGGTCCCCGGGGCCAAGTCCCACTTACCCGAATGCTCAATTTCGGACCGTAGATTAGGAAGATCAACGGCCGGAAATGAAGAATGAGCGTAAGTGGGACTTTGCCCCAGGTCTCTGCCCGTCGCTCCCACAGCCCGACCGTCCCGCCCATCGACCGGCCCAGCGCCTCAACGGCAGCTGACCTACAGCCGTTCATTTGTTTTTTTGTTTTTTTTTTCAGCCGTTCATTCATTTTCATTTGCATGTGCGTCACGTCGACGGCTGACAGCCAAGGGCCCCGCTGACTTGTCATGTACGGACGGCAGGCGCGTCGTCTTTTTTTTTTTGTTTTTTTTTTGGCAGGCGCGTCGTCATAACTCACACGAAGGAAGGACGATTCTGAGGGGCCCGCCACACCACTCTCGAAATGTGAAAATGAAAAAGACAAAAAATGTGGCGTGCGCACCTGGCCATCTTCTAGGGGGAAGTTCATTCTCATTTTGCACATTTCGAGAGTGCTGTGTGGATGCCCTGAAGCAGGTTCGCAGGTGGGCTGACTGAAGGGAAGGGAGGGGTTGGTGACCTCAGGTTGAGGCTCGAGAAACTGGCTCGGTCGGGATCATCAGCTTCGGTCGTGTGTGGGTGCGCGGGAGCGGAGCGAGATGCTGGCCCACGCTGCACTATTCTCGAAATGTGCATTCCTCTACAACACGGAAAGATGCACGGCCATTATTTTTGTCTTTTGTGCATGTCGAGAGTAGTGCAGCGAGGCCCCCCACTGTCGCCGCCAAGCCGCTTTGGATGTGGGTAGTTTGTCGCGCCGCTGTTCGTTTGAAAGCAACTGGACACTTTTGCCTCTTTCAATCGAGGAAAGGGGTATTTGCTTCTCGGCTTCACGTTTGTCTTTCTGTCACAGTGTCCGTCCGTCTGGCTCTGGTTGCTGTTGATCGCGTGTGCGTGGGTGCCCCTCCCCTCTTGTTTACCTGTTCGCTTCTCCTCCCTTCTGTTTTATATCCGCGCGCGCGCGCAGATTCCTTCACACCGCCAATCGGCCTGCGTCAGCCGACGCGTAAGCGCAAGCGCCAGCGGCACCGCCACGTCGGCCTTGCCGGTGCCAGCTCAGCACCAGTGTACACGCACTGGAGTGAAGTTTCCCAGTCTTTACACTTGTCGACTCAGCGTAACTTCTTTTTCGAGTGGCCGTCACGCCCTCTGCCCTCTGCTACTGATTGCGTTGGTCTTCTGTTACACTCGTCGTCGACGATGGGGTGGGTTACTGAAGGCGCGCTCCAAGGTCTAGTCACGGTCAGTGTTCTCGGGGCTTTCAAGCGAGGAGGGCTTATCAGGTATGTGTTCTGGTCTCTCTCTCCCTCTCTCTGTCTCTCTCTCCCTCTCTCTGTCTCTCTCTCCCTCTCTCTCCCTCTCTCTCCCTCTCTCTCCCTCTCTCTCTCGCTTTGTCATCTGTCTAGCTGCTTTTCTCTCTTGGCTGTCTACGTGGCCCTCTTCCTTGACAGGCAGGTTAGCGATCCGATCTCCATCCGCAATTGGTTCTCTCTCTCTCTTTCTCGTCTCTCTCTCTCTCTGTTTCTCTCTGTCGTTCTCTCTCTTTCCCTGTCTCTCTTTCTCTCTCTCTCTCTCTCTCTTTCTGTCTGTCGTTCTGTGTCTCTCTCCCTCTCTCTCTCTCTCAAATTTGCCTTTCCTCGCTCTGTCATCTTTGTAGCTGCTCTCTATCCCGATCTCTGTCATCTATCTACGTGGCGCTCTTCCTTGACAGGCGGGTTGCGATCCCGCTCTCTATCCGTAATTGGTTTTCACACCCGCCCGCCTCTTCTATCCCGATCGCTGTTTGGACGTATCCTTCGTGTTTCTTCTACATGGTTGGGGTGAAGGAGGTGGTGGGGGAATGGTAGTTTCAATTCCGTTTTCTAATTGTTCCTTTGAGATAATCTAGGGCTGTGGGACGTTCTCCACCGATCTTTGGACGTAAGTGAGGCCAGGTGCATCGGGATAGACCGTAATTGCGGTCAAATACGTCCAGGAAAGTCCTGGTGCGAGTTTGCCCTCAGTTCTTTCTCCGAATCAAGTGTGTGTGCATGATCTCATTTTTTCTTTTCTTCTTTTCACCTTCTTTCTTTTTCGGCCTGTAGGTAAATATATATATATTTTCCCAAACAGAAATTCATATTCTACCGGTATATGAATATTACATATGTTTCTGTCTCTTTGTATTTCTTTTCAATAATTTTGCTATCTCTTTTTCGCTATTAATTAATTACATTGTCATTTGAATTGTATTGATGTTTAACTAAATTTTCTATGGATTAATTATCGTTATCACGTATTACTTATGAATATTAATATTATTATTATTATTGTACTTTTTTATTCTGTAGGTGCAAGAGTATTTCCTGTTTCCTTGTAATTTATTATTTCGCATAGACCATCCTCATCTTGGCGTCTATACTGCAGTCTGTTGAGACTATAGGCTGTGGTCCCAAGCCTCTTCCAGATTCTGGTACCGTTCCCTTCCCTTCTTGCTGCATCCCTCCGGTCTTGTGTCGAAGAGAGCACACCCTAATCATGAATGTATACAAGCCGTCTTTTCGGTCCGATACAGTGACGATGAAGGTATTTTGGCGGGAGACGATAGCCCCATTACGAATTCCTTCCTTTTCTACTCCAATGTCGATCGGGCGCATTGTTGTCGTATCCGTCTGTAAGGATGACGTCTGTATGGATGATGGGTAGGCACTCGGTTGAATGCAAGGCCTGTTCTGGGTGAGGTAATACCTATCAAAATGTTTATGTGCTCAATTCCTACCAGATGGCCCTTTGAGAGAGAGGTTGTTCATGGAAGGGAGAATGACCTTCACGGGTGTTCGTGTTCATGAACCATATGCCCATCTCACCACTCCCTTGGTCTTGCCCAGGTGCCCTGTACCATGCTTATCATCGGAGTTGGGCAATCATGTGATGTCAGACATTTACTGAACCAGAGCCCAAAGACTGCATATGAGAGATTGAGTACGTTCCTGATATCTCTTTATCGTCTCTGGAATGGAGAAGGGTGTATGCAGGGAACACACCAACAGCAGGAAGGTATAGGGGTGTGTGTGTGTGTGTGTGTGTGTGTGTGTGTGTGTGTGTGTGTGTGTGTGTGAGAAGAGAGAGAGAGAGAGAGAATGCCGGACAGAGCGTCCATGCCACAGAGAGAGAGAGAGAGAGAGAGAGAGAGAGAGAGAGAGAGAGAGAGAGAGAGAGAGTTATTGAAGCATGGAGTGCAAGGACCTGACGTTCAGTCGGTTACGGTGATTTTTTTTTCGCCACTGTACTTTTCCCGCCGTTAGAAGTTAATTCCTCCCGCCGGATTGTTGAACGCGACAATGTTTTCGTTTCCTCGCTTCTGTTTTCCACAGCTTCCGTCGGCAGGCGACCCTTGTCTGCATTTCTAGTTGGCGACAGATATTTCTGTTGACGTCTCTCAATTCTCTAGGTCCTCCGTTCATCATCGTCACAAAGAAGACCGCGCGCAATGCGTACTATGTGTGCATTCATCATTTGTTTCTCTCTTTAACTGTCTATTCGTTTTGAAGATACCGTAATCTTAATCAATATCTTAATAAATTTTATTTGATTTATCTTTTGTTTGATTAGGTTGCGTCTCGGGATCCGTGTGAAACAGCGGCAGAAGCGATTGGTGTGGTTTTTATTTTCCTTTTTTTTAAATGTGGTTATTGTTTTCCTTCTTTTTTTTCCAGTGGTTATTGTTTTCCTTTTTTTTTTCTTCTTAAGTGGTTATTATTTTCCTAGTCACGTTTACAGACAAAGTGAAAACGGAATAGTGAAAGCGGAAGTAAAAAAAAAAACATTAAATAACAAGCAAAGTTTGACGAGGGATTTCGTTCCGTTTCTTTTTTTTTTTTTTTTTAAGATGCCGCGTGTATTATTTCCGCCTTTTTTTTGGGTCTTGATTCGTGCTTTTTTTGATGCCGCCTGTAATATTTCCTCTTTTTTGGGTCTTGATTCGTGACTGCGTCTTAATTGATAGTTGGCTGTGCGACAATGTCTACGGTGTGAGATTTATGTGCGGCAATAAGCGATCTTTCTATCGCACAGCAATAAACGTGGGGCGCGTATACGAAGCAAAATGAGAAACTGCATAGGGTGAGAAATAGAGAGGGACTAAGGGAAGTACGAATGAAGAGTTCCATATATACGCGAAAAGTGAGAAGCTGGGTTGTGTGTGTGTGTGTGTATGAGAGAGAGAGAGAGAGAGAGAGAGAGAGAGAGAGGTCAATATACACGAGGAGCGAGAAGCTGGTGTGTGTGTGTGTGTGTGTGTGTGTGTGTGTGTGAGAGAGAGAGAGAGAGAGAGAGAGAGAGAGAGAGACGAGAGGGTTTTGCATGAAGTGGTCATGCGGAAATTGACGTGGGTGTATTCTGTGTGTGCGACTGATTTGCGGGGACAAATTTGACAGAATTCATCCAGAGAATGTACAAAATGCGAATGCGAGGAAGCTGTTCGAGGCAGCCATTTGGGTTGGAGATAGTATTGTGGAGAAGGTGAGGCTCTCCACGCGTTTCTTCTCTCTTTTGTTATCCCTAATATCTCCTCTTTCCTCTTTTATCGCCAATTTCTCCCTTTCTCTCTTTTATCCCTCATTTCTCCTCTCTTCTCTCATTTAGCCCTAATTTCTCTTCTCTTTTCCTTACCCTTACGCACTTTTTCACTTTGCTTTCTCTCTCTCTGTCTGTCTGTCTATCTGTCTCTCTGTCTATCTCTGTCTCTGTGTCCGTCTGTCTTTCTCTGTGTCTCTGTCTCTCTCTGTGTGTCTCTGTCTCTCTCTGTGTGTCTCTGTCTCTCTCTGTCTCTCTGTGTCTCTGTCGACTCTTTTCTTTCCGCTTCTCGTGCCCTCTCTTTTGCCTTCTGTTCTCTCTTCTCCTGTACTCTTTTGTTTTTGTTCTGTGCTGTTCCCTTTGCTGCTCTTTCTCTCTCTCTCTCTCTCTCTCTCTCTCTCTCTCTCTCTCTCTTTCCCTCGCTATCTGTCACACTTTTTCTCCTCTCTTCGTTTCTCTTTCTCTCTTCTCCTCTCTTTTTCTCTCTTCTCTTCGTTTCTCTTTCTTTCTCTCTTTCTCTCTTTCTCTCTTCTCCTCTCTTTTCCACCTCTGTGCATTTCCATTCTCTTGTTTCCTGGCGCATTATCTCAAAGATGGATTTACTATATGCTAATAATGCTATTATGAACTGCAAATCTCTGTTTCAGCCTTCGAGGTAGTTTGCAAATCTCCTCCTTGTAGTTTCTCTTTCTCTGTCATGAACTGCAAAGCTCTGTTTCAGCCTTCGAGGTAGTTTCCGAGAACTTTCTGACGCTCGACAACACTTGGCCAGTGCACTTTTGTGCTCGAGAAAGAAGGCTGAAAAAAAAACAAAGAATGCTTCACTACAAGAAGATTTGTCTAGGCATAGATGGTGGATGAACTCTGCATATGCATGGACCCCGCCTGTGCCCTGGTCATCGTCCTTAACATTACAGTTATGGGAGGGTAGTGTCTGCACGAAGACGTTCGGGTTAGGGTCTGATCCCACACTACATACGGAAACGGAATCCGTAAAAGTAACGAAAAAGCTGGGCCCGCTCCGGATGGACCATGAAAGGAAAATTGCATCCCACAACTCCGAAAAGAATGGCCCTTTTACAGGCATCGCGGCGCAATAATGTGGGAGGGTGGAGGATCAACGGAGGAAAGGAGGGAGTGACGGGAAAAAAAACAAAAAACAGAAAACAACAACAAAAAGCTGCTCCAGCTTTTTCGCGGACGGGTAGGGGTCCAGCACTCCTCACATTTCCGCACTACTTTTTCTCCACCGATCACTCCCAGACCGCCACGACAACAAACGTTTCCACTCACCTCCAAAGTCGACGGTGCCGCCTACTACCCCGGAGCACTGTGGGATCTCGAAAAATCCATAAAACTACATACCGTATGTAGTGTGGGATCAGACCCGTTGGCGCAGATCACGACTTGTGATGTGAGCATTAACGTAGGTCATGGTACCACGGTGCCCTCTTTGAGGCGACTCCTCCTGGGTCCCCGTAATCCATCTGACCTCCTTTGGTCTTTCATTATCTCTTTTTATTGGGCTTACTATAGTGGGATTTCAAACTCATGGACTTCATTTTTTGAGTTTTTTATTACCTCAAGGCGTACCTTTGCCACTAGCACCTTTTTTAGTACTTCTTGAACTAATTTCTTATTGTTTTCGCGCACTAAGTCTAGGAATACGGTTATTTTTCAATATGATGGCTGGTCATAGTTTAGTGAAGATTTTGAGTGGCATAGTTTAGTGAAGATTTTGAGTGGTTTTGCTTGGACTATGTTGTTCATATTTATTCAATCTCATATATGTCTGAGGATCCTTTTTTGCCTCGATTTATGTGCTATTTATCTATTTTTACTTTTTTTATGCTCATGTTAGTTACCGGGGATAACTTGATTCAAATGTTTTTAGGATGGGAAGGATTAGGTCTCGCATCATATTTGTTAATTAATTTTTGGTTTACACGACTCCAAGCAAATAAAGCAGCTATTAAAGCAATGCTTGTGAATCGAGTAGGTGATTTTGGATTAGCTCTTGGATGAGTACTGCGGGCACCTCCTGAGCCCTGGCCAGCACCCTCTACTACATCCTGGACCTAAAAAAAAAAAAAAAAAAAAAAAAAGAAAGGACTCCGTTGGAAAAAGAGTAAGATCGTACGATCCCTCTTTTTTTTTCTTTTTTCTTTTTTGTCCTAGTCCGAATCTTTGACAGCCGATTGGACGACTAATAGTTGTTGCGCTGTGCCGTCGCTTGTCCCGACCCTTGATTGTCCCGACCGTTGCTTGTCCCGATCCCGTCCGCGACAGCAGACACGTTTTGAAATACCAGGGCCATTACCTGGCTTTGGCGAAGAACAATCTGAAAATTATGAAAAAGTTCAGGAAGATTTAGGAAATCGCGAGATCGGGCAGAAATGACATCATGCGGATGGATGCGCTCATAGCAGCGAGGTTCAGCAACCACAGCATATTGAAAAAAGCCCTTCAGCAACACCTTTCTCGGCCTTTTGGCTAAAAATAGATAAAGTGTAGTGTATCTGTTCTGATCAGTTCAATATCTGATCCGTGGTCCATCGGACCACGTTAAAAAAAAAGGAAAAAAAAGGGAAAAAAAACTAGGCTACCAGCCGGGCCGCCCGGGTCCCGGGTGGTTCAGCCCGAGCAAGGACCAGGGAAGGTCCCAACAACAACAACAAATACAAAAAAAAAGAAAAATCCAAAAAACCGAAAACAGACTATGTTGTGCAGAAAAATAAACTGAACAACTTTTGCCTCAGGGTCACATCCAAATTCTTCACCAAATTTAGGAAAAAAAATAAAATTTATTTTTTATTTTTTATTTTTTGAATTTTTTTGGCCCGGCCGGGCAAGTGACCCCGGGCCACTCCGTTAGCCTAGAAAAAAAGGGGAAAAAAAAAAAGAAAAAAACAAAAGAAGAAAAAGGCATTCAGCTGCTACAGCAAAATGGAAAACCATGTAGAAATGTCCATTGTAAGTGCATATTCTCTCGTCAGGCTGCCTGGACGTATCTGACCACAATTACCCCAATAATTCTGCTAAATTCGTTTGAGAAGTCGGCTTCTGAACATGGCCCTGAGCTTTATTTTAGCATGGTCTGTTCCTCCTAGCCATTGTGATTAGCCTCTTGTCAAATGCTCTCCTATGGGTGTGGGCTGCTGTCCACTTCTCCTTTCCTCTTCCTAGCACTTCCTTCCTTTCCCTCCTTCCCTGTGGCCCGTGGCCACTCTCCGCCCCCCCTCCGCCTCCCCTGCCGGGATACTTCCGCAACACCGCCTCATTAAAAGAAGGGGGAAACTGAGAAAAAAAACTTGCTGGCTACCCCGGACCCGGGGCAAGGTCCCACTTGTGCAAATTAGGAGATTTCGGCCGATGATCTTTGCTATCTACGGTCAGCACCTCTTAATACGAGCAAGTGGGACCTAGCCCCCGGACCCGGATACCGAACACGTCCACTTTCTTTGGTAGTTGCAGACCATGGGACGCTGGACCCGGTTTCCAGCACAAGCTTCACTACCGGGTTGAGAGGTTGAGGGATTCCCAGCCTCATCCAATTACTTTTATAATATACGCTACGAATGGCCTTCAAAAAAAAAAAAAAAAAAAAAAAAACGCGTTTTATTTTTTTTTTCCAATTTCGTTGTTTTTCGCCCATACCCCCCCACCAAAAATTCATCTTTTTCGTTTTTTTTTTGTGGGGGGGGGTGGGGCAGGGGATGCGCCGCCACGTGGCGCCGCCAGAATGGCGAAACCCCCTCCCCTGAGGCCGCCACGCGTCCGCGAATCCGCGCGTCCACTTGGGGACGATGCGAAGTATCCCGTGGAACGCCAACTTGAAGACGGGCGTGGTCACGTCATCCCTTCGCCGCTCTAACCGGGTACATTCAACGAACACAAGATCAAAATAAAATCCGACCACCCCGGGTCGAACTTGTTGAAACAAAAAATCATATTGAGCCGCCAACGAGGAGTTGGCTTCCGACAATAATCTCGATGTTTTCTATAAGGTAGTCGCAGAACCTCAATTTTAACTTGATGAGATGCGCTGCCAAAGTTATTCATTCTACTTCACCGCCCACCTAAGATTAGGCACCCACGCACCCGTCTCCATACGTTTTTAATCTTGTTGGATGACAGACTGCTTTGTGAATGATTTTTTGTCATATCCGTTACTACTCCAAGTGTTGCATGTATTTCCCTATAGGAAGTGATCTGGGGTACTCCTCCTCGCTCGAGCACAAGACTCGAATCTCAGAAGTCGGACCATCTCCACCGAATCGGCAAAGTACCCCCCGGTAGAACGGTCCACTCTGGGTCGATAACAGGGTTGGCTCAAAAAGCAACGAACCCCCGCACCAGATGCTTCCTTGAAAGAAAGAAAGCGTCCATTGCAAGTAAAACTTCAAATGTTCTCATCCTCCTTTGCCCAAGGTAATTTAAACGAAAAGAGTCAGAGATAATAGAGAATAAGAATCATTTCGACAGGTATAGGCAGATAAGGTCATTCACGATAAAAAAGGTCAATCCTCAAGAAAAACTAAGTCCATTTAACTTTATCTGTCATATTTTAATCGAATTCATTCTATTGTGCGCACAAAATTAACGTTTTTCAAAACAGCGAATCATTTTTAGCATGCAGGCAGGTTAGAAGTAAAAGGATGACAATCATTTTTCCTTTTCTTAAATAGACATAATCTATCTTTTTTGCAAGCATCCTTTTGCCTACCTGCACAAAAAAAAAGCAACCATAGGCTATGTGTCCGATGAATGGAGAACAGGTGGAATTAAACACCGTTCAACCCGTTTAACGGGTCCGAGGACCCTCGTTGAATCCCGTTTAACGGAAAAACGAGGATGTTCCGTTGAATTACGAAAAATTAAACTGGCGCGTTGGGCCTCGGACACGTGGCCCTACGCGCCCAAACACGAAAAATAGAAAAAAAATA